GACTGAGAGGTTAAGGAGGCGTGGGGGGCAAGGAGGAGGAAGGACAGGAACTGGGGGGCAGGGAGGAGTTGGGGGGAGGGCAAAGGCATCTCAGGAGAGGGGCAGGTAAAGGGAAGAGCAAGAGGTGAGAGGGCCAGAGGGCACAGGCACTGTGGTGGAGGCAGGTGCTGGGGAGGGGAGCACAGACATGGAGTGGGGGAGGCAGCAGGAGAGACAAGCAGTGAGGGGGACAGGCAGCAGGATGCAAGGTGTGGGTCTAGCTGCTCAACTCCCCTCCACCACTCGTCACCCCCCCCCCACCTGTTCCCCTGCCAATGCCTGCCCCATCACAGCAATGGGGTGGAGGGGGAAATCGGTGGTGAATTTAAGATGACCCTCCAATAATGAGATTCTGTATAGGGAAAAGTATAACACATTTATAAATTTTCTGTGTGTCGAATCTCATTATTTGGGAGTTATTCAAAACTGTCTTGGATTTGGGTAAATACAGTAAATTCTCAGCTGATATTCACTTTGCTTTGACCATGACAATCTTTACAAAAAAGAAAAACTGCATGTATTTTTGTTCTGAAACTGGTTTTAAAATGTCTCTCCTAAACCAGATGGTATGGGCTGAATTTCCTAACAGCAGCTACCAATCTATAGTATATGGACTTGGGGCTTTTTTTTTCTTTCTTAAAATGAGTACCTGTCCATATTCAAAAAACAGATTAAGGAGTACTTTATTTGGCCCAGTATTATTCAATTCCTTTAATGCAGGTGGTGGCTAGCAACAACGTAGCATTTCAGTCAGATACCATCATGCTCTCGTGGTTTTAGCCATTTGTCCCTCTTGCCAATAAACTTACTTTAGTTTCTCTCAGCAGAAACTGCAAATCCCGTCCACTAAGGATGCCATGATTTTTCACATAGCTTGGCATATGAACAGTGCTCATTCCGTGCACAGTTCCATGGACTTCCATGTAGGTGTGAATGATGTCCAAATAAGCTTTCTTGTCCTATGAAAGAAGCAAACACAAAAATTCTTTTACTCTTCATAAACCTCAGAAAGTGGTGACATCCCCAAGAGCTCAAGTTAACAACAGTCCAAAGCGTCATAAATGAGAGGAGTTCAGCGGTTCTCATTTTTCACATAATACTTGCTACTGTATTTTTTTTCACTAGCAGTTTGAAGTCTTAATTTCTAATAAATAGCCTGTTCCAATGGACAAAGAAAGCAATGGTAAAAAGCACGGCCAAAAACCACAGTAATTAAGGCACTGCATCTTTGCAAGAAACAAGGTACATTAAAACGTTACCAGTATAAACATTTTATTTTAACTGGATACTTATGCAATTGCTTACCAGTTCTGCACAGCTGGGCATAAAAATAATAACTCCCTTGCAAACTGGCTAGAAGAGCTTTTAGGTAGATGAGTGTCAGGAACTTGATAATATTGGTTATGGATCACTTGTGTGAAGGAACTAATCTCATGTCAGTAGGGCTGTGCTCTTTCCAGCACTTACACATGGGCTTACCACTAAGTATATGAATAGTTCTAAGACAATGCTACAAATATTTACTTACCTGCTGAAATATTAAAGGAATTTTGGAAAGACATATGGAAAGAGCTATGCATTCCTTGGAGTATTTTATATAAAAAAAAAAAACAGGGATACACCAGAATACACTATCCCAGTATACAAACAAAGATATTAGGACAACAAGAAGTCCTTTTTTAAATACATAGGGAGTAGAAAGAAGGCCCCAGGAAATGTGGGGCCCTTGCAGGACAAGACAGGGAATTTGGTTGTCACGCCAGATGACAAAGCCAACATATTTAATAACTTCTTTGCCTCTGTCTTCCTCAGTAAGGACCAGAACTGCC